TAACAGGAATTTGACACGATCAATTTTTTTTTTTTTTTTTTCAACAGAAATCAATTAATTGTTTATCAGACATCCATTACTTCCCTGAAAAACCCCAAATAACTCCACCTACCTTTTCATTTCATGCCACCAGCGGACGCGGAGCCGCATCCACGCGCCCTGGGCCAACCGCTCTCGAAACCCGCGTTGGCCAGCGCGATCCATCCGTTCCCTTTGGCACCTTTCAGTCACCGATTCCAAACAGGATTTAAGCCATCAAGCAGACACCTCGATTTAAGACACCGATGTTAACCTTGATTCGCGTTTGTATTTATTTTCATTAGATCATTAGCCATGGGACAGCCGTTAAAATAGCGGAGATCTGCAGGCAATCATCACTCTCAAAAGAATCCTAACTCAATAAAAATAAGGAACATTAATAAAATGAAATGAAAACTGTATGTTTCATCACTATTCTGATTCTTTTTCCCTCTCTCAAGATTTGGGGCAGAACACGTGGATGCACGTTAGAATGAAATGAATAAACGGCAAAGCGACCTTAGGCACACGGGGCAACCGAGAGGCTTCAAATTTCAGACTGATTAAATAAATCCGTAGCTGTTCCCAGTGGGTTACATCTCTTGGTTTCAAAGCCCTAAAAATTAAAATCAAAGCATCGATTTAAAACAAAACAAAACCTAAAATCAAAGCGTTGCTATTTCAGAACCAAAGCTTTAAGTAACAATTCCTGTGTTGCTGTTTAGCGTCTTATTTATACGAAGGGAGCGGAGACACCCATCCAACTCAGATATACACCACTGAAAATATTTTGCATTTGGGTCTTTTGTCACCTAAATGTTATTTAAATTCTGGTCCCGGGGTACAAGGTTTCTCTGAGCCACTCTCCCCCTCCACCTATTTCTTAACATCTCATCGGAGCAAAAAAAAAAAAAAGCAAAACCAAAAAAACCAAAACCTTTTGTGGGTTTTTTTGGTTCTCAGTTAAGTAATATAAACCCAAACAGCTCTTTACGCGTATTGATTAACTAAACTGAAATCAGTATTTTACAGAAAAGCATTCTTGCCTAAAAAGGGGGAAATCGAAATACCCACATTCGCTCCATTTTAGAGAGACAGGTACTTAAAGTATTACAAGATATTCTGGCATCCCAAAAGTTTGAGCCGATAGTAAATGTCGTGTTTCCCAAATTCAGCAAATTCAGCAAAACGTCAGAAGAGTGGAATTCTTTAACTGTGCGAAATGTGAAGTTTCAGTGAGAATGGGTTTCCAATAAATCAGAGAAAAATGGAAATATTCATTCTTTCGTTTTCTAAATACTTCAAAATATACTGAATTTTCCGTTTTAGAGTTGGACAGACTAAAACTGGTAACAGCAAACCTTAGACGCCCGTTCAGATTTTCTTAGTTGTTTTGCATTTGCTATTTGCTTGTGGAACAAGACCCCCAAAGGTGTTTTAATTTTTCTTTTTCCGAAAGAGGAAGAACCTGTTATTCACCAGGGTGACAGCAATTTCTTGCTCTTTTAGGCTTTATTTTCGCAAGTTCCCCAGAAACGTACAAAAAAATTGCAAACAATCAAGACTTCTCTCCTTAAATCGCTTTGTCTCTTTACAAAATCCCAGACAAAGCACATGAGCTAAAAGAGACAATTTCTTTTATTAGCATTCATCCTAGGAAAAAGCCTCTTCTGAAACTTTTCGGTGAGTAGGATGCCCAAAAGCCAGCGGGACCTGGTTCGATCACCACCACAGTCCACTTCTCAAGGCAATAAAGAAATGCTTAATATGAGTCAACAGCCAACTACAATTTAACCCTCAATAAAAGTCTGCTTTTGGCAAAAGGTTCACCTTTCTTTAAAATGACTACAAGCAGGAGTTAAAACCACTTCTGAAATTTCCTTTAAATGCTGTCCGTAATGAGGATTAGATCTTTTCAGAACTGTAGCAAAGCCATTTCTGTTCACCGAGGGTTTGAATTCTTCAAAAGACTGATGTTAGACAGGCAAACAGCAGATAGAAAAGCCAATTTTCTCTTAGAATTTAAGCAAGACCTTGTCCATCTCCTTGAGTAACTTGTCTCTATTTTTCCAACCAGTGGCAGGAAATTTTCATTTCTACGGCTGATGTCTATACTCTTGATCTCCACATGCCTCATCCTCGCTGCAACACATTTCGAGCATCCTTCTAGGATTAAAAAAATGTACTGCTTCCCTGAGTGCACAATAAGGCACTGCATTTTTATCTCTTCCAGCCTTGTAAATGGCACAGGCCATTACAGAACAGCCTGCTTGAAAAAACAGGATGCAATATTCATGTACTTTGTCAGAGGAGACAGATCTGCTTTTTGCGGTGATCAACTAAGGCAAGACAGACTTTCATTTCATTAAAATAAGGATGAAGTAGCATTAAAACAAAATACCTTCAGTGTAGCAGTTAAATTTGAGCAGAGAGGGCTACAAGCCCACACTCAGGCCTGTCAAAAGCAGACATTACAGTGCAAAGGCTGATCCAGGGGCTCTGGGGAAACCGGCAACGGGCAAGGAGCTCTGACAGAAAGGAGCTGTACAAACCTCATGCATCCTTCCCGGAGATCCAAGATCGGCGTGAAAGAGGAGAATAAGAGTTTGAGATCAAGTTTTGACAACTTCCATGCGGAAGCACTGCCCTCAATCAGCGTCACTTTACGTGACCCATCTCCCCAGTCAATACTACACTTAAATTTCTTCCCTCCCGCCCTGACTGCTCGCTGTCCTCACTCCTTCTCAGCTTGTTTTCCCCCAGTACAACCTGCAGTCCAAGGCTACGCTCCTCGCTTATCTGCAACAACACGTGATGACTCCTTATGAGAACAGTTAACTTTCTCAGCAGAGCTGAGTTGGGTCGCAGAAGAGGGAGATGGTGCAACAGTCCCCCAGATATCTGCTTCTAGAAGACTATCCAAATTCTGATTAGGGTGTGAACTAGAAACGTGTCCCCCATCCCATCACACCCCCTTCACCCTCCTTGCAACATTAAGACCACAGCTGATGGCAAGACAGGCTTTTGGCTGCGAGAGCAGCTATTCTTTTCCTCCTTCTGCCAAGGAACAGGGATGGTGAGCAGATGTTGTTGATTCAGATTAAGATGTCGTGTTGAAGCTATAGAATTAAGCTTACGCAATGTGCACCTGTACCACACCTGGCTCTAAGAGAGCTGCTGCACTTCCACGCTTCTACCAATACCCTTTAAAGTTACCCCAAAACAGATAACATCACAGCAGCAGAGAGATGGCCTGCTGCTAGCAGGTTGGCATGAGATCTCCCCAAAATTGAACCACAGTTCCCAGCTACTTCCACAAACATATATATTGATAAAAATGATATGGGTAGGAAATAAATCCTGCTATTTACTTAGCACGTTTTATTATAAGAACGATGATGTTCATTTTAAGGCTCAGTGACAAATCCTGTTTGGTACATCATCACCTTATTAAAAACCTGTCACACGTGCAGAGAATGCTAAGTTATATTAAGTATGCTGTTAACTTGACAAAATACAGCCTGCTACTTTCCACCTGACTAGCGCTGCAGCAGAGGTGGCACATTTTCAAGGGGTGGGAAACAGACACCTTCTCCTTTCCTCACCAAGGCTCCAGATCCAGTCGAAACTCTAAACAAAGTAAAAGTCAGTAAGGTGTCTCAGCCACAAAGGCAACGCATCAGAAACCCAGCCATAACGCTCCACTCCAGATCCACGTACATCCATCAGTTACTGGGATGTGACTGCCACCCAACTGCAGTGAGTAAAAGAAATGAAAACAGTCATTTAAAATACTCCATTTATCCAGATATGAAAGAAAGGCTAGACGGATGCTGAACAAGAAGGCAGTTCAAAAGCAGAAACAAAAGATGCCTCAAAGTGACAGATACTGGTAAAGGCAGGAATTACAACTTTTTGTCCAGTAATCAAAAGGAGCGCAAAATTCTTTTGCACAGAAGGCAAAGATCTGACAGCACTGCCAGTACACTGTGTAGTTCATGCCAATGCAGTCACACATGGTATTGGTGGTTTCAGCCATCAGCAAAAGACTGGGAATAATAAAGGAATGCCAGAGTCAGATCTTTAAACATCTTGGAAGGGAGTATAGTGATATCATCACTTGAGTATTTTCACTTGTGCTATCGGAGGGCAGGTGTAGAAACCCAGTGTTATCTCCAGTAATTAAAATACCCTTCAAAGGGAAACCTTAGCATGACAATTTAGGGAATGAAGGTTTCAGCTATACACTAAAAGCATGTGAATGCCGCTTTCTGCTCTATACTAGGCTTCTTTGGAAGATACAACAGATCCAGTATCTTCTGTCAGCAGGATTCCAGCCTGACCTGTACTCTAAGCGTCAGTAAAGAAAATGAAATTTACCTTTCGTCTCTCTACATGTACGAGTGCTTATACTCATACATATAGTTCCTAGTCTTGCTATCTGCAAAGTCCCATTAACTAACCCTTTGGTTTATACTCATCCACCTATGTCAGGAAACGACTTCAGCAAATAGATATACTCCTTGCTTGTTCATTGAAGGGCTTTTTAATGTGAAGAGAAATGGAAGCTTCTGATTAACCACATGTGACTGCTTAACTACATTAAAAATCAACTAGATTTTCAGCAGTTTCTGAGTTGTTCCCTCTTTCCCAAGAAAAAAGCCTCAGTGCTCAAGTCTTTAAACAGTTCATCCAATAAAGCTGATGTTGTATACCAGGTATTCCGGACGCATCTCTCAGCTGCAGCTGAAAGCTGGCGAGATTAATCTCCTTTTGCCCAACATCCCGAGTCTTGCAGGAAAACAAAACCAAAAAGAACAAATAACTTCAGGTCTTGACAAGCAAAGCTTCTTCCATCGGTCTGATTCAAAACATAAACGTTACGTTGTTTTCGACACACGAGTCCCATCTATGCACCATGAAATGACGATGAAAAAAGTATGATGCAAAGTCTTCTTAAATAATCACCCAAAATATAAAGAAAGCAGAGAGAAGCTTGATGCAAAATCCAGAAATAGTCCAGGGCAGTGCTTGGGTACCACTAAAGATTTAAGGACTACTGGGGATTATGTGGCCAGCCACAAACTGTCTCGTGAGAGGTCATGACAGCGTCCTCTGCTGCTACGATGAGTGAACAGACTGCCATTCCCCACTGGAGGTTTGTCTATTGGTTTAAAAAAAAAAAAAAAAAAAAAAAAAAAAAAAAAAGACCAAGGAAGAGCATACAGTCACGCAGCTGATCGTCGACGGATCACAAAAACACCTCGCTGCAGCTGTCCCAGGTAGATTCTCATCTTTGTGCTGTCACTGGTTTTCCTCACCCAGATCTGCATGAAAGAGAAAAAGAAAGGGACAGGGAGATACATTGGGGAGAAAAAGGGAAAACCCACAGTGAGCAATACGCAGCCAATCAAGCCCTGGTATTGCTATTGCCAGATCTGAACACCTCTGTTACTCAGGGTGCACGGATGATTTAGCTTAAGCCCTTCTCCCTCCCCACATTAGGTGTCCGCAACCTGAGTAGAAACTGAAATCAGGTTTCTAACTTTACCACCCTAACTGCCTGCTCAAAACAGTCATCAAGAAAAATGACTCTTTCCAAGCATCATCAGGAAAGCAAGTTTCCTTCTGCTATAGTTCGCAACAGAACTCTGCCATTAAGCTTTACCTAATCAAGAATAAGCCTCTCTAGATCCACAGATCATAAAATTACCTATCCTGGGATTTGCCCAGACAAGTAACTATTAGTCAAATGAAAAGCTTATTCTGGTTTTGTTCAGTGAAGCATTTCTCACAATGTATTAAATAAATTGTATCTGAAGATAAAAGGGCCTCTTTTTTTTTTTTTTTTTAAAGACTTGCATGGAAAAATTCACATAACTTGCTGCTATACCGTATGTTTCAAAGGACAAATTGCTTCCATGGAGGCAGCCACTCGGAATTTTTAAGAAATAAAAATCACTTTCAAGAACTTTAGACCCAAATACTTGTAATTTTAAAAATCAAATCTGAGCAAATCTCCTCTCCATCTTATCGTTCTAAGCCATTTAAACACATTTAAATAAATGCATGGAAAATACGAGTTATCCAGCTCTTAGTACTACAGTATTTTAGGACACAAGTCCAATATTGCCTACTGCAAAGGACTATAATGTTAGTGTTGGCATGCGATTTATCCAAAAGTTTTTTTTTTTTAGATACCATATTAGCTACAGGCCTGGCACGGTAGATTGATTTAACTCTATTATTTTAATTATCAATTGACTTTACTAGCAGGAGCCCTCAATATAAATATAATATTTGCCTGCATTTGTACTTCAGTTATTTCTTTAGAGAAATTAGAATCCACCTTCACTGATGATCATCTCTCCACTGCAACATTTCTAAGAATTTGGTATGTTCTACTAACCAAAAGAATTCTTAAATGCACAGACTCTGAGCAACTGTACAGAACAACAAACGTGACAGAATGTAAAACTGTACAGTACGATGGAATGGTGTATTTGTTTTTACTGAAGGTAACCCTTTTGTTAAGATCCACTTGGAGGAAAATTAAAATTCAATTTTAAGTGACCGCAACAGTGAAATTACTTATTAACACTAAAATGTGCCACACAGTTCAGAAAAATAAAAGCATCGAGACATATTCTGAACTTAAAACTGATGTTTTAGACATACAATGTATTTTGCAATCAGAAGGTAACATCTATTAATTCTAAAGAACTGAAGGAGGTGGTGAATAGAAACAACCAAATCCATCTCTGAATTTCTTTTATTCCTAGACTGTAAAAGAAAAGTAAGCTTCCTCCTTTTTTCAACTCCCAACAAACTGAGATTGCTGAATAAGCTCATGGGAATTAAAAAAAAAAAAAAACCAAACAAAAAACAACCAACCTTTCCTGCACATACTGCGGAGTTTATTGTTGTCAAAAGGCAAATCTAGGTCCGCCTTCTAGCTTCTAAATTCAAGCAGGACCCAGTAAGATCACAGTTTGGCAACCACACTTTTGAACGTGTGATGAAATCCGAGACGTGCACGTTGTGCCCCTAAGAGAACACCTTCTCATTTCTGTATTCCGTGAAGTATTTCTCTCCCTTGGCTTTATAGTGCTGCAAAGAACCATCACAGGGCAAACAACTGCCATGCCTCCTCCCCAGCCTCTCTCACAAAACTAAAAGGAAACCTATTGTCTCACTTTGAAGTGGAATTCACGCAATTATAATTAACGGCTTGCGTTTCCTTCAGGTTTCAGGTAAGATGCTCCCAAAAGATTGAGTTTTAATGTTTTCAGCTAACAGTAATAACTTTAATCAAATTAGCAGCACTATATTTTTAACGCATCCATTAGCATGCTACTACTGCTTTATCTAAATAACCAACCGTTGAGCGTAACAACTGTTACTGCAAGGAGAACAGTTGTGATACAAAGCATATCCCATATGCAACTCATTTTGTTGAAAATAAAATATTTTCCCTCAGCTGCCAAAACAAATTAAAGTTACTTTATTGGCTGATTGAAGAGAAGTGCATTCAAGTCTATCATTTCTTTCCTTGAAGTGTCTGGAATCTGCAAGCAAAGAATAAACTGCTCCCTTTGCCCAAGCGGTGCACTGCTCAAGCACTAAGCTTGTTTTGCAGCAAGATTCACATCAATCTTAGGCACGCACCTCTCTTCACCAGCTTCTCTAAGCCTTAATCATTAGCCACAGGGAAATTGTCTCAGACAAATGACTCACCTGCCCTCTTCCTCAAGTAGGTGATGGATGCTGCCAGCTTACTTCACAACACATGTACCCAGGATGAATTTTCTCCCCTTGCAACAACTAAATTTGGTAGACAAAAATTTTTCCTCTTCTGGATTCCCTAATGGGATTTTTTTAAATTTTGCATTAATAATAACTGCGTGTATGTTCTTAAAATAATGGCAATGGAACTTATGAATGTAGTGCTAATGAGATGCAACATGTCAGCTCTCCCCATTTTTCCTGCCTGCCAAACTACTACCTGCAAAATATAGGATCATTCTTTAGGAACACAGCAAGTCTCTTCCCATCTCGGATCTCTCTCAAGAAGAGATCTCTCAACTCAGTTTTACCTTGGATTCAGCTTCTTTAGACACCAGACAACTGCATATTTTCTGAAAATAATACTGATTTTTCTCTTAGTCCTTACTAGACAGCCATCTACCTGCCTCTGCTGACCCACAGCTTTCCCCGCTCCCGTGAAAAAGAAAGCAGCCCACTACCTCATTGGCGCCCACAGAACTGATCACACAGCTGATCTTAGTGTTCTCTTTAGACTCCAGGTAAATAGCCTGGCTCTTGTGGTACCTGCAAAAATGTATAAAAAGAGAGAGAAACACATGAAACCATTAGCTGTCCAAAGACTGAGAAAAGAAACAGTAGTAAGACTGATAAAGCTAGGATTCTACAAGCATTTGGACAGAGTAAATATGAAGTCTGTCTTTCTTTCCACACCGCTTCCCCCGTCTTCACCGACATAGCGGGTGGTCTGATTCTGCCCACACATTTTGCATTTAAATGATGCTTCAGAATGCATGAAGCTCGCTCAATTCAGATTCAATTCTGTACGCAGATTACCGAAAACAGATTTCCCATCTGAAAGAAGGGCAGAGCACCAAGCCACAAGACAGGAGAACACGGATAGACAATAAGCCCGTGTTTCAAGAGTTCATCAAACTAGCCTTTCACATTCAGACACAGGATGGATTTGAGAAGGCGACTCCATATTATGCCTGATAAAACAAGACAGGGCAAATCACAGATACTAAAAAGTTATTCACATTCCCCAACACAAAATTACGAGTGCCCCCCCCCCCCAAAGTGAACTGTACTCAACCAGTGCAGTCCATTATCGTTTAAACAGAGACCTCAAATTTCTAATACTGTCTTATTTTGTGAAAACACCCAAAATGGTAAGTGATGGGTAACTGATTCTGTAAGAAGCTGTATATACCTGCCATAAGGAGGTATATAGAGCACATATATATGCTTATATATAGGCATATATATAAGCATATCCATTTTTCCCCTTTTAGATCACATTTCATATAATTTTTTCCCCTAAAGGATCATATTTCAGTCATGCTATATAGTTTTCCTAGTGCATTTTGTACAATACAAAGTAAAAACTTCAAAATCCATAACTCTGCATGGCTTGATTTCACGGTCTTGCCTTCTTTGCAGACCATGTTTCTGGTAAGTGCTGCAAAGTGTGCCAGACAAAACTCCCCAGTTGCTGTTTATTCCGCCTAGGAGAGTTCCGTAGGCAGAACTAATTATACTGAAACAGATTATTTGTAAGTAAATAATCTTAATCAAGAGAGCACCGAAATGCTTTATAGTTATAAAAGCGTAAGTGTGTTTCCACCTTTACCCTAACCATGATGTGCTGCTTATTTAACTGGGCAACCCAAGTCGCAGAATCACCGCGCAGAGATTCCCTCAGCAGCTACTCAGTATGCAACTCCCCGCAGTCTGATTGGCTGACAGCCATTTGTCAAAACGCATGGATTTGCATAATCTTTACAGTTATTTCTGTAAATATAGAAGTCTTCCAAGAGTTTATTCCATAATCTTTTCCTACTGGCTTATGTACTCAGAATTTTCACACTGCTTGCCAGCAACAAGAACGGCAGCGTCAGCTTTCAGCCTTCCGAACATATTAATTACCAGTGGGCTGGGCGAGGTAATAAAAAAACCCCTCTCAAATTCTGCAACCTTTAGACACTTGTGTCCAACCATTATTCTTTCTCCCTCGTTTTAACAGAAAGGATGTCAGTGGGTTCCAGGGCAATGTAATAGCAGCAATGAGCCAAAAAATCTCAGTTTACTGAGCTCAGATAATCATTAATTGATATAAAGGAAGATTATAAGCTACTACAAAGCAGACCTCCCTAAGATAAGACAGAAAAATCTCAGTCCAGCAGTGTCCCACCATGCCATGCTGTGACTGCTTAAGCAAGGGGAATTTATGATCTTGATACAATCAGTGTACAAGCTTCCGAGTGCAGAAGATACCACTGCAAAGGACAGCTCTCAAGCGGTATCCACGCCTGCACAGATAATGAAATAATTCTTCCACTCACAGGTGTTTCTTCCAATTTTTGATTATTAGTGAATTCCAAAGCTAATGACACACACAAAGCTGGCTTCAGCCCCTCAATTTCACGTCACAAGTTACTGTCCATCGGTAAATCTACGTTACCTGTGCACAGAAAAGGCAAGGTACCGAGTCAGTTCAGCACTTTTTCACTGAAGAGTTGTCCGAACCGTCTCATGCTCCGTGCACACAGAGACAGGTCAGCTGAAGGTACAGCAGCCTGGTACATCTCACTTACATGTTCACGTCGCAGCCCTTTGCCGGGTTTATACACCCACAGGGGAACAGAGGGGTAGAACTGAGGAAAGTACTTCAGATGGAAAACGCAATGGAATCTGAGTTGGCTTTCAAGAGAAGGGAAGTGCCAAACCACTCTTGCTTTTGCAGTAGGTAAAATACACCACAATACTGACAAGCGAGGCAAGCAGAAATAAGCCTGCTTTCTGCTACAAACTATTTTGCTGGAAGGCCAAGATTTTCAACTGCATCTCCACCCAAAGACTGAAAGAAATCACTCTGCATTATTGTACACAGACAAAGCTAAAAGCAAAAAGATGGCTGGTTTACAGTGAACTGTATTTTAGGATCCGACGGGGGAGCATAGAGCAAATTGAGGATAAAAACTGAAGTCTAATTCCACATCCATCTGAAACTCCCTATATCTCCGCTTTGGAGACACGTTTGTGAAATATCTCTGCAAGACCTTAGGGAGTCCATTACTAGCCTTAAACATTCACTGTTTTGAGATAATGGTCCTTCATGGCTGCTGTCAGGTAACAGAGAAAGTAGTCACTCCTGAGCTGTCACTTTTATTATTTCTGGTGCATGCCAGCAGCTACAGCCTTAATACACCTTAGAAAAAAAAAATTACCCTCCCACTATCAAGAGTTACTTCGTTGTTTTAAATACCAGCTACTTTGCACAACTATTATTACTATCAATCAAAAAAATCTAAGCAGGATTATTACAGCCAAAAAATGTAAAATACTTATCTTAAAACAGTGTAAGAACAAGGAAGGCAGGAAAGGCAACAGCTGGAATTTCTGACAGCGAGACCCCCATGACAATCGAATCCAGCAGGATGAAAATATTTGTTAGCGTTTTATGTCCTAACTAGATACCTTTCAGAGAGAGCTGGTGCTTTTGAGAGATTCACTGAAGCTCTCCCAGGTTTAAATTCGGTGGGAGCTTGGGAGCTTTACTGACGGATTACTCCAGTTCCATCTTTCCTTTTTTTTTTTTTTTTAACTTATGCAACACTGTACAGTACTCCACATGCTTAAAAATTCCGAAGAACAGTTTATTCATCCAAATATATCCTAGAGGATAGTCACTTTACACAAAAAAAAATTATGAAAGCAAAAAAAGCACTTCATGAATTTGTGGAGTGACAAGTAGCCTGTTCAGTTCAAGTCTGCTTTACGCTTCACAGAAGTTTAAGCTCCAGGCAGCAGCCTTTATCAGAGCTGTATACATTGAACTCTTGATGAAACTTCACTGTCAGGAGGAAAAACTGACAAACTGCACAAGCTGGCTGTTGTGTAGAAAACAAGCTTCACAGCTATCATTTTCCGTGATAAAATTACAACCTTGTCACTTGTTATTTTGAGCCACCAGAACACCAAAGTAGGCTACAAATAAGCATACGACTTGCAAATTGCTTTCTGCTCAAGGAGTAATAGATTGGCCCCTTGATTATCCAGCTTCGCGTGTCTCACGGATTAAGTTTAAGACCTACGAAGATTTCTCTGCAAAATTTAGTATTTTCCTTGTGTTTTGTGAGGCTTGCACAGCTACACGCCCATAAAACTTAACAGAGCTAAAATCCAATCAGCAATTCTGAAGTTGCTTCTCCCATGCGGGTTTGATCTTTAAAGGTTATTGGGATTTATTATTAGAAACATTTTTCATTCTGCTCATCTGGTACACAACATTTCTTCTGCCACCTTGTGGAACGACGGGCTGGCGTTCTACAAAACTGAACACCAGGACTGCGAATACCGCCGACACCGCTGCGCCTGCAATCGCAGAGTATCTGGATCCTAGCTGACCGACTTCGCAGCTACATCACGCTGCGTCTGCTGGTGGCTCTCTTACTTAACATTAGGTTCGACAAAAATGTTTCCCAAGTGTCACAGTGTGCAGAACTGAACCCATGGAAAAGATTTAAGTCTCCTTTTACTCAAGCCAATAGTTACTCCTGAAAGTCTACGAGGTCTAAACACTCCATTATCACTTCTGACGTACCGAAGTCGCAACGATTAGCCCTTGGAAGAAGTGGCTAAACTCTGCCCAAAACCATTTTGTCCTCAAACTCTTTTATCAAAGCAATTTCTCTCTGCAGTCTTTGTCTCCTCACTATACAAGGCTCAGACCGATTAAAGCAGAAATTTACCAGGACTTACCATCTCTTATCATAGTAGAGTTTTCCATCTTCTATCCGGGCCTCAAACCGCTGTGCGGGAGACTCTGCTGGTGTAGCCGGGAGGTGCTCGGGAGAGGAGGGAGAGGCTGAGAACAGGACAGAGACTGTGTTTAAGACCAGCACGTGTCCACCACACAGTAGCACATCTGACCGCAGAATTGCGATTAATAAGGTCATATTAAGCAGAAGTAATAAGCACAGAAAGCTACAAACTCAAACTTCCATCGGAAAAATATTCCCTATCCTGGGACGAATAATTCAACCTCTGCCTTGAGTATATAAATTATAATATTCACTGAAATATAACGTTTATCTGAAAAAATGTTGATAGGCAGGTGATAGACAATATGTCCTTGATTTTCTTTTAATTCTAATCTATAGCAGAGTAGCTAAATAGGATCAGAATTACTTAGGCAAGTTAGTACCACTCTCTCTTGAAATAAAGTGTACAGACACATCTAGAGAGCTGAAGGCATAAAACCGTAGTTCTCAATCCCTCCATCCACCTGACAAGCAGGCAAGCTGCCCAGATGCACCTGAATATAATGGAAAAACCTCTTTACACAGTCAGATTGTCCCTTGCCCAAACGTTTCAGCCACCAAAGACGCATACGCCTCCCTTCCCATCCCTGACAAGCTTCAGAACAGATGAAGAGATGCCACAGAGCACTCATTCGCCACAGCAGCTACACAAAGAACAGCAATTACATAGTCAAAACAATTATACAGTTGAATTACACAGTCAGCAACTGTACAGTCAAAAAGCCTACGCTATAATTCTCTGTTCCAAACAGCACGACTGTGAACAAGTTCCCATGCAACTGTTAACTCACCTGGTCTCTTGGGCGATTTAAGCTACATAGAAAGAGAGCAAAGAAGCATTAGAGATCTGACATGAGCCATACAAGTCTGCAGTAATAATTTAAAGACAGAATTTTAATTATTTTAATAATAAAAAGACAGTCTTACTTTCCATACTCTAAATGTTTGGGTTTTTTCCTTTTTAAACGTACTGTTAAGTGGCATAACACGTAACTAGAACAGCATGCTATAAACAGACTAAGGTATGGAGAATCAGTATAGCGATACAAAAGGTCTACAAACCGAACTTCAGAGCCTGCGGATAATCCACTAAAACAAGTCAAAACCAAACCCCTCTATACACACTGTATTTTTGAACATGATCCAACACTTCTCAGGGTACAAGAAATACAGGAGATAAATCATTAGCGACACCTCAACAGCTGGCACAAAACCCATGCTGCACCACCATCAGCAAAAGCCTTAATGAGCAGCCTCTGCTATAAGAAATTAGATAAGCCTTAGAGCGTTTAGCAAGAAAGCAATAGGTTCATTAAATCTAGGAAAACTGTAAGCATACACAGCGCACCCTATCCAGTTTGCTGAAGTATCGTGACAGTGGGGAGGAAAAAAAAAAACCACCCCTAAAAAACCACCCCCCCACACTAAGGCCTAAACCAGAGGCAGCCGGTGATCTCAGAAAGACGCGTTAACATCTGTTCAGCCGTGCGGAGGAAGAAACTCCTTAAGATAGCTCATCACTTGGTTCAGACAAAAGGTAACATTTTTAGATGACAGTCATTTTAATTAGGTTAATTAAGCCTATTAAAATAAAAGGGAGGAGATACCATCTTGCTTCATCTTTTATTGTGTTACTTCAGAAAGCCTGCCGGCATGAAATAGTCCCACGTCTCAAAAAGGAACATGAGAACAGAGCTCTGTTCTCTTCAGGGGAAAGCATTAGCTTTCTCTTTAAAACAAAGAAATACAAATAAAGCAATAATCCCTACCTTATTCAGTGTTCTCAGGTCCTCCATTATTTGCTCATCAGTCAACAAATAATTTAGCTGAGGTATGCAGAATTAAGGTTCCCATAAGCTCTTGATAATCAAGGCTAAAAATTAAAGGTCAATGACATTTCACTTGACTACACGTAAGCCAAAAGGTTTCTGTAAAGTTGCACAAGATCTTAGTAAGTGTCACACTTGAGCCTTTTTTATCGTACGAATTAATACAAGTTCATCTCCACAGAGCCTCATATTTAGCAGCAAATAGAGTGCAAAATCATTTTAACTTATTCAGACATAACCATTAATGAAAAGCCTTTAGCGCATTGACGTTTACTTCATGGAGGCATCAAGCACTACCATTTTCAGTGTTTTCATGTTGCATTTCTGTAGAGAACGATCTGGGAGCTGAAACACAACAGGCTCGCTTCAGATTTTGTACAACGAAGCCAAATCCCACCCAAACCTAGGAAAAGAAACTCATTATTTTGTAACTCAGTAAACAGGAATAGAGAGAGCGCGAGAAGAGGGGAAAGCCCACAAAACAGAACTCAAAAAAAAAAGAACCAGGAAATAAAGCCGGAGGCACAAAACACATCCTTGTGTGGCTGAGGATAAGTAAGAGCCTACCATTCACCTGAAAACAAAAGCAAAATCTCAGCACACAGAGGTTAGTGTATTTTAGCCGCCTTAGAGCTCCGCTATCATTTTGCGTAGTTTCACAATTGCATCTTCCTACTTCCCTTTTCTACTGCTCCTCTGTCACTTCCACGCAAGAAAAACCTAAGGACACAGAAGGAAAACAATACCCAAAGCAGCGGACCCTGCCTCCAGCTTTAATCTACAGCGTTTCTTCAAAACAGCTGTTACATCAAAAGCATTCCAAGTATTACACTGAAGTTAACAACTGCTAGGCTGCATTTTAAGGATTTTGGTTCTGACAGACTTTAATCCTCTCCCCAGTGAGGCAAGGCAGATAGAGTGTCCTACTGTGGCTGCTGCATCATGCTCAATTAGTAGGTCACGTTCACTATGAAACTCGTTTATTTTGGATGAGATAGGGGCACTAATAGATTTTTTTTTTCCCCCCCTGAAAGAGTGAACAGAATCTCCAACCAGAAAGGTTAATTAAAACTGGAGATGCTTGTGACCATCTTGCATGAACTCTAGAAGTTCAAGGTTTGATATTGCCTTCAGAAAATGTGAGTCACTCAGAAGTCGTAAGATACGCTTTTTGAATCTGATTTAAGCCATACCAGTTTGGAATCTAGTAAGAAGCCTCTGCAAAGCAAATATCATTGCCTTCCTTTCCAGGTGAATTTAATATACAAATAGAAAAAGTGCCCATCATCACAGAGGAGCTAAAAATGTATTTCCAGAGGCCAAGGAACATTTTGATTATAAGAAACATGCAACAAGGCAGAAGAGAAGGATTACATATACATGTTTTCCTCTCCTGTGTGATATATAAAAACAAGATGGATTTTCATTTTTTCTTTCTATTCAAAGAACAAATCTAGCACTCCTTGCTTTTGCTATGCAGCTCTCTGGATTAAAGATCTGAAGCCTTTATCAGAAACAGAAAAACTACTTTGATATGACAAATATGATCTTTCTGGCAAATGTTTTGTCACATCTTGAAATGAGAAAAGCTTTGGCTCATGTAAAAAACCATTTACTATCCATGGAATCAACTACCTCAGCATTTATATGTAGTGTTCTTTTAACGTTTTTCCTTTGTGAAAAACCTTGCCTGAAGAATTCAAACTATTCTCACTAACAAAAAAAAAATAATCAAATAAGTTACCTCACAACACCGTGAAGTTTAAGTTTGGATACCGAGGGATCTCCAAAGACAGGTTGTGTTACATTGCACATTATACACGATAAATTGTACTTCAGTATTTCCTAGATTAAAATTTGATCCTAGCAGCTCATTTCATTTTCCTTCCGGTACAAAACGACACAGATGCAGGTAGCATGCCGGCCTCAAATCCAACAGCCCTCCAATGACTCTGTAAAAGGATATCAGGGGCAGGTTTCCTCCTCTTGTCTGGGATAGGAACGGGATCGTTTGGTCGTCGCCTCAGTTTCCTTGTCATAATAGGCTTCACTTCCATTGAATCTGCAGAGTAATGAAGTTGGAGAGCTGATAAGACCAGAGGGAAAGGAGAGAGAAGCAGCAGCTTTCTACACAGGGCACAAGGAAAAGAACCTTTCCTCTTTCACACAGAAAATCGAAAATTTTTTGTGATAGCTTCCAGCATCCAAGCCGGAACTGCTGACAGCGAATACAAGTTCTCTTTCACACTAGGTCACCGTTCAGTAATGGTGTTGTGATGCCACGGTTACAGCTTTCGTCAGCTGGAAGCGGCACAGTTGGTTTGGGGGCATTTTACAGCTCCTTCAGGTATCGATAACAAGCACAATGATGCTGCAAGGATTCAGGGCAAATTCCTTTAACGCTGATGCTATCCGCTCTTGGCCAGATCATTTAAAAGGCAAAGTTCATGGAGTTCTTTGCTAACAAAACTTGGATAGTTAATAGCACGTAAAACATCAGCTACAAATCAATCGCTCTCTTTTTCTTGTCTTCAAGCTGGACAACAGCTTTGTCAAAGGAATACAGATAATTACTGCGTTCAAGACTGATACAAGTCTGCTGGAATAATTTTAAACACAAGTAGTATTTAAATTCAGATTATCTAGAAATGTTTTAAATTATGATTAATGAAATAAACCTAATTAATAACATGCAGAGCAGCAGTTGACGGGAAATAAATTGTAGCATATGCACTGGGGAAGGAGAAAAAAATCTGTTTAAAATTGAAACACAAGTCTCATCACCAAGTAATTACCTGAAATTACAGTTTGTCCAAATGTCTACAGGTAGTCTTAACTGAACTACTTTACTCAAACTGTCACAAATCATTCCTTAATTTATGAAGATATCCTGAACTGGCAACCAAGAGACCACATCTGAAATGCTAAACACATCATCTCACCTCTCTTTCTATGTGCTGAGAATTATTGGCTCATCTTTTAAGTACACCTGAATCACGTCCTAGGTAGGACTTCAGTCTATGAAGCCTCTTTGGCTCCCTCTAGATGCTAAAAACCTTCAGCAGCTATGCATGGTCAAAAGACACCAAATTACTTTTCTCCTTATCTCAAGGGTGAACAAGGACGACCACGCTGCACATCAAGGGAACAAATATTACGATAAAAGCTTTAAAGAAAAAAAAAAAAAAAGAGGTGTCACCCACCGAGTGTATGCCAAAGGAAACTGTATCTCTAGGATTAAAGCTGAATTTGAAAAACACTGAACATTAATAGCCCTGCAGACGCTAAAAATGTAACTTACGGTGTTGAATGTAAGCCATTCTCATTCATTTAAGATCGATGTACGAGAGCCTCAGAAGAGGGGTCTGAAGCACTTACTCAAGGCAATATACAGCCAAGTCAAGAAGGCTTTTTCTCCTTTTTAAAAATTAGTTTCAAATGAGTTGTCACACAGTTATCACCTGTATTGCTTAAAACGGGAATAAGGCAGAGATCAATTTCCTTATCTCTTTATCTTAGCACCCTGTATCTTAAAATTGTGACAAGTCAGCTGAAAGTCAGCACCAAACAAGTTTTCAGAAAGAAAAAAAAACCACAGAGTTTGAGAGTCTTACATTTACTGTTAAACATTTGAAGAACTTCAAGATTCGAGAGATTCATGAAAACTTTATAAAAGAAGTTTTGAAGAGCTGCTAAAGCACCAACGAATTTAAGCTAAAACACAGTCTTGCATGAGGCTTAGTAGTTAGGAACCATGCTACACAGTGCTCCACAACTGGAGGCAACTATTGCAACCTAATCAATCTGCACCACTCCCAGACGAGCCTATGCATCAGGTTGTATCCTTGTATACACCGAACTTCCATAGGTTTTAAAAACCATCGAGTCCACATCAGTTCCAGTATTGTTATTTCTTAGCCTCCAGTGCATGTTCACAACACAATCCGTTACCTCTAAAGAAATCACACTGCATTTCTGCTAGTCCGGAAGGAAGGAGATAAGGGAAGGCTAACACACACAGAGCGGATCTCTTCTCCGCAGTTACTCACGTGCCTTTTCCTAGACTTATATTTGATGAAACATCTCTTCAGGACACACAACAACGGGAGGACATATTTCCCTAAAGAGGATTAATCTGGTCCCCAAATCAGACTACAAAATACTTCTTTTTGTCCCTCCTCACTCTCCCTTTAACTCTGCAAATCCAAACCCTGATGTTAACAGCTGTCCCACTGATAGAGAAACGGGATTCCTTCAGACTCCTACAACGTTGGTATGCAGATTTCCAAGGGTAAGATCTAGTCAGATCCTGATCCACTAATGAGAATCTGCTTACAAGATTAGTACTGTATCCCAACTTAGTAATGATCAGAGACATAGGACAACAATAAGAAAGTTAAGATAAGGCACAGGTTGTAAGATTGGACTAGACTTCATAATTAAAAAAAAAGATCAGGGAAACAGCATAGCAGACCAGATCAGCCCTAACAGTTTCTACAAAGCCAAGAGCACCCTATGTCCAAAGAGGTTTTAATTCTCGCTTCTGAACACTAATTAAATTACTAGCTTACATAACTTCTGTAGATACTACGCAAGAAAGATATAAAAGGTCTAACTCATGAACAGGCCTCAGCAACGCAACCAGCATTATCTGTCCATGAAGTAAGGGAGCTGCTCTTAAAGAGAGAATCAAATCAGACTTTTGGTTCAGTATCACAGCAACACAATTTGTGAAGGAGGCTAATTACCCCTCTACTTAGCTCCACTGTGTCAATTACTGCAAAGAGCATTGCCAAGGCACCAGGGGCACCAACTGGTCTCATGAAAGAAATCTGTCCATTTAATGTCCATTTTCCAGAGTCTGGACACAAATGTAGCTCACAAATCTATTTTTCTGGCTTTAAGTAGCTTATTTCAACCTTTATTGTTTTCTTCAACTTCTTGACCACCTATTACTGGAGAAAAAAAGGGCACAGTTTACAACCTGGCACTGCTGGTTAGGTCAATATTGTGGCATATCTCAGTATTTTTATTGCCAGATCGCAGGAACTAAAGAAGCCCCTTTCCCTGCACGTAAGAAAGCCCATCCACTCTGCTGCTTCGTCTTTTGGTAATTCAGGTCACTGAAATTTATTTTATAAATAAATAATAATTTTTATTTATTTATTTATTTTCAGGTCACTGAACTGTTTTCTCCATTAAAAGGCCACCAATTTGCATTCTACATCTGTTGGCACTGGGAAAGCTTTGAAGCCTTCACACGAGCTGTCTGTATAAATCAGCATTGCTACCTTAGTATCTTTTTTCCTAAGCAGTGGCAGACAGAATAAACGACAGATGCCTCTCTTGTTTTTACCTCCTGTTAATTCCATGGTTAGCTTTTCATTCTCAATCATCTTCTTTTTCTCTTCCAACTCTGCGATCAAATTTTCCTTAAGCTCAATTTTCTTATCTTCAAACTCCTTTGCTGCTGCCTTCTTTTCCTTGACGTAATTTTTTTCCACCTGGTCTGTCTAATGCAAACCAAAAGAACAAAAAGGTTAACTAAGGAACCAGTGATTCAAGTTAATGATATCACAACAGCTTCTTTCAACTGCTGTATTGATTAGCTTTTCAGTTCAAAACTGTAGCCGGTTCTAAAGATTATCGATATTCGTAATCAACAGAGAACCATCAAAATGACTAAGCAGTACTATATTGGTAAAAGAATTAATTATTTTTAAAAAACATTTTAATGTTGCATACTCTATCAAGTCTCTGGCAGACAGCTCTTCAGATTTATAAATAGTGCTATCATTTACCACCTCAAACAAGCTTTTTAAACAAGCCAAATGCACAGCCAGCATACAGCAGCCCAAGAGCAAATATTTCTTTTAATTCTATTTTAATGACAAAGTCCAGAAGTTACTGGAAGCAATACCAACAGTAGGCTGTACTACATCTCCAGTGTAATAATGCTAGCTAGAGGAAGAAAATGTCTTTAAGCCTTCTGGGAAAACAAGCACAAGTACTAGTTGATGAAACCAGAGGTTTATACCTCTTCCATCTAGTTAATATATATTTTGATAAATTGAAGAGTACTTACTTCCAGCTGGAGGAACAGTTCTGAAAGAGAAGAGAGACTTAATTTATTATTTTTGAGGATGCACAACATGACATTTTAAGTCATTGAATATTGGAGCCAAGAGAGGCGGTGAAGTAAACAGCGTACGTACTCATCCAAACTCTACTCTCACTTCATAGTTTTACGCTGAAAATACAGTAACTATAAAAAAATTCCACAAAAATATATTGCTAATTGAAGTTTTCTACAGATTGTCAAGCAGATTTGCAAAGCCTACACCGCAGTATTCCATACTATTCAGTTCAGCTACTATTCCGAGCAGTACTAAGCACGTAGTCCATCTTTTTTCCAGTTTAATTACAATCAATTAATACTAGATATAAACTTCCCAGACAGAAGCTTGAAACATGTAGCTGAATGTATGGCTGGCAAGAATTCACAGTTTAAGCCATCTTCATAAATTTCAGCAACGACTGTCTCGGAAATAATTCTGCAGCTGTTAGAAGATTCATCTACTCAACTCGCACGTGTCTGATTTCAGGCTGTTTATGCCTGAGAAAACAAGCAAGGAAATCGTTACGTATCACTGAAGGTTAAGTTCTAACACATGGCAATGATGAGTTCAAGTCAGACCTATGGATGAAGCAAATGGATTTCTGGGTGTGAAATAGTCCTGCTACCGATGTTTGTGCAATTCCTAGCAGCTTGAAATTAAGCAGGATGGGACCCTTCTTGTGTGTCCTGGAGGACATAATGCCCAAACCAAAGTTTTTACTCAAGGTAGCGCCAAGAAGAGGCAACCGAGGCACCTGAGCAGTCCTCAAGTCACCCTATTTCACCACCATATTAAGCTTTGGAAATACTTGAAACAGTAAAAACTTCTGTAAAGATCATAGGCTTCAAACATGTTTCGGAGAAGGCTGTAGTAGCAACACTGTACTACTGTGCCTTTTTCTTGTTTTTAAATAGTTTTAAACAACAAAATAGAAACCAAAGATGATAACGGCCCAATAAAAATCAAACCTTTTGTTTGCAAAGGCTCTACCAATTGAGCATGGAAGCTGCGTTACGGAGGTAATCAAACATAGGTAAATCTAAACTGTTGCTTTAATATCTATGAATTCTCAAAAAAAAAAAAAACACAACCAAAACCTCAACGTGGGACGGATAAACATAAAAGACCATTTTTCCCATAGTACTAGGCAGTTGCATTTTTTTATCATAAAATTGAAAATTATCACCATCTGCCCTCCTGTGGAAGAAATATGTTGCTGCAGCACTGGTCTTTGCCAGCCAGAAATACAAGTTTGCAGTTAGTCTTAATTTTACCAAAACAACCCAAGATTACTAGAACATAGCTCTAGTGCACATGAAATTCATCTCAGAAGACAGATTCCTGTTAACAAGAAGTAGTTCAATTCACTTAAATTCCTCAACCAAATCTTTTACCATCCCAAGCACTTTTAGAAAGATACAATTTATACTACTCAAAGGTTGGCGTACGCAGCCATCATACAACTGCCACTGCCTCTCTGTCATGTTTCCAGAGTAACGGCCAAGGCATTACAGGATTCATCCAACTTTTCCAAAGGAAGAACAGCTACATTTCCTATTTCCACATAATAGCTTCTGTAAAAGGCCCTGCTTCAGTATCCAAGATAAGAACCTACTGGAAAGAGAACAAACAAGAAAGAGGGAGGGCAGGCAAACAGATCTGATTTCCAAGCCATTTCTCTACAGTACCACAATAAAGGCTACCCAGAAGGGCTGAGAGCTAGGCACTTTAAAAATCAACTTGGGCCTTTGCTCCTGAAGCAGAGCACCGGAACACAAAGCACAGGCAGCCCATTCAGTGTCACAGCTATACGGAAGAACAGTTTCAGCAGCAAACCCTCTGTTGCGGGGCACAAAACAGATCTTTGGGAAAGCATGTAGTCCTAACTTTCCACTCCTGCAAACTGAAAGCAACAGGGCACCTGAAGGTTTCAGACAAGCTGCACAAAAGAACGAGCCAAAGTGGGCAACTGTAGGTTAGGCATGGTGCCAGATAAAAATGAAACAATTTTTTTTACTTGTGCTTTTTCCACGCAAATGAAGACTAAATCTGTTTATTGGTGTTTAGTAAACAGTCAGCAAACAATGCTGATGAAGGAAAAAAGAATTTTAAAAAAATCAAGATAGATCTCGTCATCCTTCATGCACTCTCAATATACGCTTGGAAGCAGAAGAACCCTTTGCTCCAGCAAGTTCCTTTTATTTCAAGGACAGAATTACCTTTATTTTTTTTCAGGTGTTATAAAAAACATTAGTTTAAGTTGTATGCAGCATCTTAGAAAGAAATTCAGCTTACCTGCGTTTCGTATCCTTTCTTTGTACTGCTGGTCCAACTTTTTCATTCTTTTCTGATATTCCTGAAGAGTACCTAGTTGAAATAAATTGTGGATTCCCACTGGAATTTTATTTATTCCAAGTATTAAATTTTCTCAAGGAGCCATACACCACTTGAAACACAAATACTAGTATTGAAATCAGAAAACTACAGTTCTAGTTTGCTTATTTCGATAAGCACGTTCCCCATTTTTTCAGAAAGCCGACTACTCCTTTTAAGAAATGCTTTAGTACACAGAGAGTTAACTACGAGCGTTTAGAGGGAAAAAGGATGGGAAGTGGCTGACATTTTTCACTAAGCAGCATGACTGGGAGCCGCCATGCAGTGAGGGATGCTGCTTACATCCTTCAAAACCCTCATCTCTCTATGGCCTTTGAAAAGTGCTGAAAATTGTTCAGGAAAAAAAAGCTATCCCCTTCAAAGCTTACCTTCCTGCAATTGCTGTAATTGCCTCTTCAGAGATGCCAGTTTGTCCTGATACATCCTGCAAAGACAGAGAGCACGCAACTTTGAAAAACAAACACGCATCCTTTATTTCACCATCTGTTTAGGTAGGTTACAACGTGTTTACACGGAATTAAAAACCTTTCAGAAGAACTTCAGGAAACAAACAACAACTAAAAGAATATTATTCAAACGAAAGGTTATCATTCTGTCTAAAAACCCTGCCACCCCATTGGTTTTGCAATGCACCCAAACCAATTATTTTGGGAACAGTTCAGGCTAAGATAGGATTTTTTAATTTTTCTTTTTAAATGTCGAAATCTAAAATGACATTTAGATCTACAGACACCAGAAACTTTACAACAGAATCATTCTGCTACTTTGTCAAGTCTTAATATTTGTGTACTAGTTCCCTACTTATAAAACAGAAGGCATTTCCTGATGTAGATCTTGACACTATAAAAAACCCCAAAGTCTATTCCTGGTGCTGTTTCAAATTTGCTTTTCCTTTCTCACGTATCTGCGGTTTAACACAGGCCAAGTCTTCCTGACCTGTATAAAAATATGTCTCTGCCAGTAAGCAAGAGCAGAAAATACTGCAAATACCCCTAAACATCAAGGGAAACTATTTCAAGTCTCCAAAAAGCCCATCTTCTTGGACAGGGCTAACATCCTAGTGTTTAAGGGGTTTTAACAGGCGTCTTGCTTTTTGTTTGGCTTATATAAAGTAGATCCTTTATTTTATTTGAAGGATCTGTCTGCAGCGGGATTCATTCGCAGCAAAACTCAGCTGCTGCCAGAAACTGGTACCTATTCCTTTGTTCGAAACAGCAGCAGCGTTTAGTTTCCTGAATACATATAGAACAGAGAAAGTAACTGAGGAGAGAAGAAATGCAAGTATATGGACTCATTAGCTATTACATTGGGCTAGGCACTTAAGAACCCCGATCTTGGCCCAAAACATTGCAAAGTTTTATGCAAAAAAAACCCCCAAATAAACAGAACATTACCTTACTTTTGATTAGAATGAGTTACTTACTGTTCTTTCATTTCTACAAAGTCCTCTTCCTCGTGTTTTGCCAGGTCCGTTTCACTGGCATCCTCAGTGTCTAAATGAGGTAAAGAATGACTTGTTAAAACTAAAGTAGTACTTAAAAAAACCCCACAACGTACTAAATTATTTAAAAACAAAGAAACAAGGAAACAAACAAAAAATCCCCAAACCTCAGGCAATTTAACCTCAAATACACAACAAATAGGCCTCTGGAGAGACGAATTCAGAAGTGAAATGAACTAACTCATCTCTTTCCTGCAACTGCACCTTAACCTATGTAAACCCTCTGGTAGTTTTGAAATGAAGCTTACATCAAGTCTAAACAACTTCAGCTACTCTGGTCATTTCTTCCCAGTTTAAGACAACAGGTTCTCCATTAACGCTCACATACACAAAGGTGAGACAGAAACAGGCTAAAGACTCTGAAAAACGTTTCACAAGCTTCTTCCTCTAATTTCGCCCCTGCCATAATACACTGTATGGCAGACAGTGACTGAAACAGCTCTAACAGATTCTGCGTCTCGACCTGAAACACTCCAAAACAAAAATACCGTGACTAACTGCTGTCAGGGTTGACTACCAAGGTCTCGCTAAACGTAACAAAGTTACTTGCCGTGATCTGAACTCGACTTCTCAGCTACACCTTTGCACAGAAGTACTTCAACATTTATACATAACGAAGACCAGCACTACCATAAAGATAACCCAAATTTTATGAATAGCTAATATAAACTACAAACAAATTAGACCAGTATGGGACTGTTAGCTTTCCACTGTGCCTTTTCAGGCTTATAAACTATTTATAAGACAAGGGTAGTGAAGAATTAATTACCTTTCCTCCCCCAGGAGAGGTCAGTGCCTTCAGGCCAGAGCTGTGATAGGCAGGGCACAGCTGTAAAGCCTAAACTACGGCTATGTTCCCTACGTATAGATGGGGGGCACCAGCCCCTTAAATCAAACTTTTCTCAGATTTTTCTTAAAGTACGAATAAACGCTTTAAGCTTACGTATATTAAGATAAAATTCAACACACCAAAGACAAACCAAAAAAGTTTTAACTGAAAGAAAAATACTTAGATGCCTAGGTCACCATAAAGGACTGCCGTGCTCGGGTTACTTTGTGCAGCCAGGGAGAGCCCCCCGCTGCCCGGTGCGCCGTCGTCCTTTGTAAGGACCTACAGGTTTGGCTCTGGCACCTCATTCCTGAGCGTACCAGCCGTGATGGAGGACTCCGGCTGACGGAGCAACGGGCGCTGTCAACGGGTCATTCTTCATCTCCCTTATGTGTTGTTTGATGAGTCCTACACCCCAGAATACTCTGGGTTTTTACTTCCTTTTCCTCTTCTCTGCTGCCTTCCTGGTCCTTCTACAAAACCCCTTTCATCTAACATCCTCTCGCCCCCCCTTACTTCTGCCCACGCTTCCTTCTACCGTAGCTGCCCCCTTCCCACCACAGAAACATAACCAAGTCCCACACACCAGATTTCTCCCTGCTTTTCCCAGGCGCCCAAGCCCACCCCCTCAGCGCTCTTCCCTTCTCTCACGGCCTCTCCTTCACCCGGGAAACCGCTCCACTTCCCCTCTCCATCGCCTTTGCTTTTCTACCCCCCCTAACCTCACAAGCCCTTGTCTCCTTCGCGTTTTCTCGCTGCTCCAGACCACTTCTCCACCAAACCAGACCCAAGCCTTCCTTCCCCAAACGCTCCCCTCCACCTCCCCAGCGCCCCTGCCCGCAGCAGCCCCCTTCTTCAACCCGCCATCGAGGTGAGAG